TTATTCACTTTATATCCCAAGTGTAGCCCCCTCCCTCATCTCCTCCCAACACACCCTCCCTCTTCCTTCCCCCATCCACCTCCTGTAGACCACAGAAAGTTTTCAAAACCCAGCAATTGCCTGGCAGAGTGCTGCTTGCCTTTAATCCCAGCATGTAAGGAATCTCCCTCTTTCTCCCTCTCTTTTTCTCCCCCCTCTCTCCAAGGATTTTAAATCAATTTGAAATTTTAGCTTAAAGGAATGCAGGCTATCCCAATATGGAAGTGGCCCTTTACGACATAAACCTATGAAGTATTGGGACAAAATTGAAAGTCTCAAAGAAAACTTAACATAGTTCCATTCCCTAGCATAGAAACTCAAGATGGACTGAAGAGATCAGCCTTCCCATAAAACACCACTGAATATGAAACATTTTTTCAAAAACAATTGAAATGATAAAAGTATGTAGTAAAGACAAAATAAACACACACATGCAATTTCAAACTTCCATGGAATAAAATCCAAAAAATTAAAAGATACAATAGAAAAATCTAAAGTGAAAAAACATAAAATGGAAAAAGGTCAACAGCTTTCTAAATTAAAGCTCAGGTGCCTGAAATTCATAAAAATATGGAAAATGCAAACATGATTTACACAAAGGGCAGGAAAAATATTCCATCGTCAAACAAGCTGGACTAGGGGTATAGGCAGTAGCAGAGTACTTGCACAGCCCCCATGTGGTCCTGGGTTATGAAACAAGGTTGGTTATGTTGTGAGTAGCTGGAGCTTTGCAGCATCTTGTACCTTGGGTGGCACTGAGACTGGTTTCTGCCACTGTTAAGGGTCATTTCAGATATCTTCAATCACCAAAATAGTCATAACTATTGGCCTGATAAGCACACCCATGGCAGAATTCATCACAATGACCTAAAATGATACATTTAAAGAGTATAGATATTATTTTTACTTCAGCAATATTTATCATATATAAAAAAGTACAATTATAAACAGTTTAGGACAATAAATTATGATTAAAAAGTGACAGATTTAATTAAATGAAGTTAATAAATGACTAATTTTTAGAAATAAATATTAGAAGTATTACTTTAGAAAAGACTTGCTTTAAAAATTATAGTGTGTACTTGATTACCACTGTGTATACACACACACACACACACACACACACACACACACACACACACTGCAATGATCTTTGTTCAGAAGAGAAAAGAGAAATTTTTTTCTGTAGCCCCCTCCTTCATTCCCTCCCAATCCCACTCTCCCTCCCTCATCTCCTCCCAAGCCCATCTCCAAGTCCACTGATAGGGGAGGTCCTCCTTCCCATCCAACTGACCCCAGCTTATCAGGTCTCATCAGAACTAACTGCATTGTCCTCCTCTGTGTCCTGGTAAGGCTGCTCCCTCCTCAGGGGGAGGTGGTCAAAGAGCCAGCCACTGAGTTCATGTTAGAGACAGTCCCTGTTCCCATTACTAGGGAACCCACTCGGATACAGAGCTTCCATGAGCTACATCT